TACCTGAGAAACGTATACTGAGTATTCATTCATATTCCCTGTCAGTTACTAATTTTCCTGCTTATTAATCTTCCTTTTATTGTGTAAGTTTCCTTCATCTCAAAACTGTTTTTATGAAAACAGCTAAAATTTAAACGTAAATAATTATGTAAATGCAATGAGAGCATATAGAATTCAAATGCTAGACTTGAATTCCATAGACTTTTCAATATATATAAAAGGAAAGGGAGGCAGGAGATATATATTCCCTTATGATTCTAAAAAACACATGATTCCTAGGTCTAAAATAATACAAAACATCATATTTAAGTTGAAAAAAAATAAAAGGGATATCATAGCACACATTGTAACACAGTGCAAGAATTTCATATAATAAATCCATGTTTTATCAAAAGAAACTTTTCCAAAAATAGTCACATAAATAATCTCAGCAATTCCGATTGCATATTACCAGTAGGAAGATGGACATTTGGCTATACTGATTTAGTAATAAAAAACTAAAACCAGTATCACTATTTTTAGGAGCAAACTAAATAGCATGCATAAATATAAAAATGAATCCAAATATTTAAAATAATGATTAAATAAAAGTGAAGAACAATTAGAATAGGGTGGTAAAAATAATAATTTGCACTGATAGAAGCAACTAGCTAGCTATAAACATGGAGGAATCTGGGCATACAAATAACAGGAATCAACAATATGGCATTGCCATTTTAAAAGAAATGATATTGTAATAGATAAATGGAAATTATCTAAGAGCTAAAATAAATTAATATTTGAAGTCCCCTATATAGGCCAAAACAAAGGGTCACAATCATCCTAATCTTGCTTCTAAGTCCTTGAATATAGCCAGCATTTAATAAAAATGTATTGGCTAAATGACGACCATTAAATAAGAACCTGGAGCCATTGAGTAGCTAGGGATCTCCACAGCCAAAACATAAACCTGAATGCAAAGGATGTGTCATGGGGTACCACCTTAGTCAAGATCTTTAATGTAAAAATTGTGTAAGAAATACTCCAACTCCTAAAGTAGTATATATAACCCCAAATCAGAAAACTCTTGTACCACGGAGGTTAAGGGAAATCAAAGTATTGAGGAGATAAATGGCAATTTTAACAGATAAATGTAAATCTGAGTGTCTATTACCCACAAATGGAAAGTAGCTGAACCACACAGCCATGATCTTTCCACAGGGAAAATGGTACTTCTTAAATCTTGATAGATGGACACAGTAAGAGGTAGGACTACTAAGGAAAAATTGGGAGTTAAAATTATTTAATTGGAAAAGCTAAGGATAAGAATGTGGTAAGCTTTAACATATGGAACATGATAGGGAGCCAGTTTTTCCTAGTTACTAGTGTAGACTGTGGGGAGTCAGGCTGCCTGAACATTTCATAAAGTTATCAAAAACATGTGTAGAATCCAAAGAGCTTTTGTATGAGCTACAATACTGTCATTCCATGTGACAGACCACATTAGAATATTTGATAGGTTAAAAATAAGAAAATGCTAAAGTTCTGTTCATTTAGAACAGACTCCAGAGAGGAACCTAACAGTACAGCTCCACACTGAACTGTTTTCTCTCATTCTTACTAATGGTATCTAAGCTTTGGTTTAGTCATTAGTTTAGTATATTAATGCTAAAGTTAGTAATCCCTTAGACTTTAGTTTCAAGCTTTAACTTTTAAGACTAATTATTTTTATTGTGCATATGTAAAATGGGATGCCTGTGAATTAAAAAAATTTTTTCATTTCTAAAAACATTAACAATCAACAAAGTGATCAATACTGGAACAGAATATAGTGGGATTTTTTTAAAAAACCACAATAATATTGAAATACTTCTAATGATAAGAGTGACTGCCAATAAAATCTAACATAACTTTATAAGGGGCCATTCTAGCTCTTAAAAACTCTAGACATAAAGCAAAATATTATTTAAAATTCCATTTTCTGACAGGATCAGAGTAAAAAAATCACTATGTGTCCTTAAGAACAGAAATAAAAGTGACAGTTAAATATTACTATCAACAAAAAAATCTAGCTTTTACTATTTTTATAGATTTATCACTCATTTAAGTAAAAAATTAGAAGACTTGAAAAAGGCAATCAAGTTCTAGATTTATAGTAACTGCTCTATAATATAGCTTCAAAATAAGAACTTGTACTTTAAATAAATATACTTAGTATATGGTTCTTTAAAAATGTTGAAATGTTAATAGTGAGATGAATCAATGACAAAAAAGCGTATCTTCCTCAGGCAAAAGAAACTAACCACTATACAATAAAGGCAATGATTGGAAACCCTAAATTACATTTTGTTGTCAAGAAAGTCAGTTTAATTTAATAATTTAACTTTTCCACAGAATTAATCACTATTACTTCCATACCAAAGAGGTATCATTTTGGGGAAAGAGTAGATCTATGAGGATTTAAAATTATTTCCTATCTACTTCTTACTTTTAAGATGTGGTGATTCATGGCTCCGATAAAGATTGTAATTTTCAAGAAATATACAAGAAATCCATGTTAAATAACAACAGTGGACCTTGAAGGCATGAGCTTTTGTCACTTTATTGTTAACCAATGAATATTATCCAAAATTAGAGATGTAAATGTAACTTAATTGTACAACACAAAATTATGCTAATGGTAAAAGCCTACTGGGATTTACCAAATACTCATTAGTGTATTTTTACATTGACTATATGAACATGTGCTCGCGACTGCTAATGATAAGTTATAATTGGTTTAATCTCTATGAAATCCATATTGCAAATGGTTCTTGTTTAGAAAAATTCACACAGCCTTAAAAATGGATTAAATCCATTTTAATCCTAATCTACAAATAGATCATAAACAGCAAAATATAACTGATAATTTTTCAATACTGTATCAAACTGATGTAGCTATGGTAGTGCACATAATTCAAAATGAGGAAAATTAACAAAAATCCAATGAAAGTTCAGGTTTTTATCTATTATGGCAATTGCTTTAAAGTGAACATTTATGTTTCAAAACATGAATAGTAGGGTCCACCATCCATTCCTTTGATGTACTGCAAGTAGGAACATTGTCTTCCATAGGATTCTGAAGCACGTGCACAACCATGGTACAACAGTCACTTCAAGGTTAACCAGCTATGTTTTGTCCTACAAAGTTCAAAAAATATATTAAACGCAACCTTTCTTTTTCATAATGTCTGCCCAGATTAATCCTTTTAAAGTCAGCAAAATCAAAAAAACACGAGAGATATTTTCAGACACAACTTGAATCTACTGTGCATGAAAATGTTTAATAAAATGGCAATTTTAATAAATGTAAATTTGACTGTGTAATACCCAATGGAAAGCAGCTGAACCACACAGAGAAAACAAGGCTTTACGTATCTCCAAATTTAGCTGTTTTACAATAAACAAAGTATTAGAACATGTGAATATTAGAACCTCCTTATGACTGGAAAGATTTCTTCAGTAAGATATAACTGAAATTAATATAAACTAAAATTATAATTTCTAAAATAGAATTAACAAACAAAATTTAAGTATTTTTAGTCAGAGATTGAAAAAAAATAAGCACAGTGATCTAGAAGCCAAATATAATGATTATGTAACTATCATATCAAGGTACAGACATTCTTCATGTTACAAGGTTAGCATCTCTCTCATACACACAAGAGTACACACACACACACACACACACACACACACACACAGAGTCTCTCTCTCTGTCTCATTCCCCCTCTCTCTTACTCAGCCATACCACAGCCCTCCAGGATGATAGTATACCAGTGAGGAGCTTACAATTTTAATATAAATCAGAATCCCACAGTTTGACTTAACAAAAAGGCAGTTAAAAATTTAGCACTCTAAGATATTCTGAGGGAAAATGAAATTTCAAAAGTATTTCTTGATGATCAAGGCTGTCATCATGAATTATAAAACATATAGCTTACACACTCCATTGTGTTTGAACAACCAGTCATCGCAGGTGTAGCAGTGAGGTAGTATTGTTGTCCCCTCCTCGGGACTGATGTTTTTATATGCTGCCCTTCCAGAAAGGTCCAGGTTTTAAAAAATAATTAAAATCAGTTACCGACAAATGTATATTTTCTTTTTTTACTAATCATCTGTTTTTCTAAATCAGTCTATAAAAGAACAAAACTTAATCTTGCAGAGGCTGTTTCATCAGTAAACTCTCCTAGGGAGCTACTACTGCTGTCTAAACCTCTGTGAAATGGTAGGCAGAAAAAGCCATCAAAGGATTAGAGGAGATAAAACACCAATCAATGTAAGCTGTTAAAGATGACTGTGATTAAATAACCAAATATCAAATATCCAATAAGGCAATTAAATTTGGATTTAAAAAAACTAACCACCAGCTGTACATACATTATTAAATGTTCTAATCTCTTTCATGATTCATAGCCTTATTCTACATAATGATCAAAGACTGTCCACTGTGCTACCTACCATCATTTTAAACACTGCCTGATCTGTATGATGGTGGGATTATGGCTATGGACATGGCAGATAAGAGACGGGCACACTGAGAAAATGTGAGAGAGAATGTGGAAATATACACAGGTTAAATATGGAAGGGACAAGGGAAACCCATAAAATGTTCATCAACATTATCCTTTAAAATGTACACAGAACTGAAACCACACATACACATTTGTCAGACATGATAATTAGTGTTAATCTTCAACAGAAAAAAAAAAAAAAAAGAAAAAAAAGAAAAAAAATGTGAAAGGAGGCAATGGAACACCATTCTCCATTCCCTGGACCAAAAGAAAAAGAAAACCAAGCATGTTATCATACTGCCTTAATGCTGAAGAGCTCCCCTTAAATCTGTCTTTTAGCTAGCACAGTCAAACCGGTGTAAGTGCTTTGGCAAGGTGGGATGCATTCCATCATATCTGCAAAGGCCTGCTTTTCTCTGTTGGTGGTTCAGCTTATGAAGAACATATATGCAAAATAACAGCTCTCACATTGCTTCAAACTCATCGATACGCTGCTTTGTATTGCCTTGTCGAATCTGTCGCAGAGTCTTGTACTTATCACGGCCTGCTTTAACATTCTCAGCATGAAGAACATCATTTTGTGTTTTCTTGGTTTCATCTCTGGCTTGGGCTAATTCTGAACTTAATGCCTATATTTAAAAAATTAAAAGTACAACAATTATTTTCTGAGATTTAAAAAAATTTATGAAAATGGCTTTAAGATGCATAAATACATATACCCAATCATTTCCACTGTGAAACCTTTTTCTTTAATGTGTAAGTTTGCTTTAGTAATAGTGGTGGCAGTGGTAAGGGAAGAATACACATGGCCTTTCATTTCCACATTTATCAACCATGGTATTTTGTACATTATTCTAAATGTCCTTAACTTCCTCATCTAATATTTGAAATGGCTAAAAAGTTCAATGCAGCCACTATAGACTAATATTACTATGAGATTTAAAATCTATACCTCAAGGGAAGCGTTCTCCAAAAGTCTTAATATATTTATTCTAACTATCACCTTATTTTAATATTTAAAGATTTCAACAATTAAAATATTAGATAACTTACTGGGAAAAAAGAAAGCTCTCATAATATTAAAATCCTCTACTTTGACCTAGTTATGTCCATGTAATATACTGACCTTTTGCCAGTATAAAATCTAAACAAATAATTAAGATTATGCAATGTCTTAAACATAGTATATTAACTATCATTCTTTCCAATGTACATTTTATTTTATTTTTTTGAGACAGAGTCACTTCTATCATCCAGGCTGGAGCGCAGTGTCATGATCTCGGCTCACTGCAACCTCCACCTCCCAGGTTCAAGCAATTCTCATGCCTTAGCCTCCCAAGTAGCTGGGATTACAGGCTCATACCACCATACCCAGCTAAGTTTTGTATTTTTGGTAGAGGCAGAGTTTCACCATGTTGGCCAGGCTGGTCTTGAACTCCTGGCCTCAAGCGATCCACCTGCCTCAGCCTCCCAGAGTGTGGGATTATAGGTGTGAGCCACTGTGCCTGGCCCTCAATGTACATATTACTGATTAAAAACTAAACTCATTTGTTTTTCAACATGACATTAGAATACTTTATACCTTTTAAAATGGGTCAAGCTGTAATTAAATAACTCACTAATTAAGGTCTGTTTATTCAAAGCTAACAGGTATTTGCTAATGGGTTCACACAACGGAAGAAATGAAATAACGACTACAGGCCAAATACCCACAAACCAATCACAAGGCCAGTCAGTATTAAAACTTCTATGTTCTTTTTAACTAAGTTTGTCTAAGATGGGGAAAATGCAAACTATATTTCAAATGTGCATACAACTGCAAATTTTAAATACCTGAAGTTGCTTCTTAACACGCTCATTTTTCTGTGTTTCTGTTACACGTTCTTCCTCGCTTCTATGGTTCATTACCCCTTCATTTGATAATTCAGCACTAGCCTCAGCATTATTCTCATCATGTTCATCATGTTCGTTTTCTGTTGGAGGAATGACTGGTGGTGGTGGAGGTGGAGGAGGGGCAGACATCACAGTTTTTAACTCTTCTTTGGTCTTTTCCAAGTCTTCCTGGGCTGCAAAAGCCTGATAAAAATACGTTTATGAGCAACTTACTTCAAAAATTAGTAATTAAAACAATCAAGTTATACTGCTTTAACAGAAACTATATTTCAAGGTGATGAAATAAGCCCTATTTATGAAAGCTCTATTTTCATAAAAGAATGCCAACAGGTAAAGGAGAAAATCAAAAGCATTATTATGCAAATCCTATTAGAATTACTAATTCTGCAAGCTTCAAGTCAGTGACAGGTTAAAAGAAAAACAAGCATACATGCAAAAAAAGAAGTACTAATTCTGGCAAGGATTATCAACTGTTTGCTAAAATTGTTGTGCAAATAGCTGATGAGAAATGGATATTCATATAATGCCGAAGAATCCTACGCCGAATAGATTTTATTTGAGCCACAAGCGGAAAATGTAACCGAAAAATGGAGGAATGAGACTGTCGTTACTCAAATCCAACGATCACTAACAAATAGTAATGGTGAGTTAACTAGATACTGTCTTCTGATATGATACAATCTGAAATATCTAACATCACCAATTATTTGGGTGATCATATTATCTTAGTTTACCTGGAAAAGTCCTGTTACACTGTTGTCCTGGTATAATTATGAACAATATCCCCTTTTTCTCAAAAGTGCTCCAGTTTAGATGTTAAATTATACGGAATTCTCACCTCTGATGCACTGCAGTCAAAAACATTTAATTTGAATTCCCCAGGTTCTAGATCTAACTTCTGGTTCACAGGAAATACTGGAGTTAAAGGATAAGGTCAATGACACAAGGAAAGAACTAAACAAATACAGGAGCTAGGACATTCTGTAGGTCCCTTCAATAAATCAAAATAATACAAAGAGAAACTGGCCTCCATTAAAAGAGACTTACAGCAAATAGAGACAATGCAAAGTCCTCTGAACACTTGTCTGGCAAATTAGCTATGAGACTTTTTGGGAAATTCTGAATATAGCCTAATATTCTATGAGATGAAAATACACTAAAATGAAATAGTACATACAGTAAGATTTCATGTTGAATATATAAACAGGAAGTATCCTGGAAGGATATGTACTAAGGTTTTGCAGTACTGCCCCTAGTTTATGAGAATACAATTGTCTTTTGTGTGCATTTTCTAATTTTCTATAATTCACAGACTTGACATCTGTAATACGCTGATTTTTTAAAAGTTTACGTGTCTCTAAATTTCACAAATCATCCCTAAAAGGGATCTAAAAAATTCTAATAACAATGTAGAGTAACTGGGAAATTAACAGTGGAATTCCTTTTGTAGTTTTATTTATATACAACTAATTTTCAATACATCTAAAACTTCCCAATGAAATTTAAACTGCTACTTAACTTAAAATTTACTTAAGAGTAAAAGAAACCTTAAGATTTACTTAAGAGTAAAAGAAAACTGTTTTCTGTATAAGTACATTTTATTGTAGAAAAATCATCTTCTAAAACTAAATATCATCTTTGGGTGTAAAAAAATTATCTTTTCATTTAAGAGTTACTGTCATTTGAATTAAACTCTCATTATCTTATAATCCCCCATCCCTCCAACCAAAGCCTGATTTTACAATTGTGTGCTACTTTAGACAACAGTGGTTTCATCTACTTAAGACTCATATTAGAAATCTCAGTACCAGCTGCACACAGTGGCTTACACCTATAATCCCAGCACTTTGGGGGCTGAGAGGGGAGGGCTGCTTGAGGCCAGCAGTTCGAGACCAACCCGGGCTACATCGCAAGACCTCCATTCTCAACAAAAATAAAAATGATGGCGCATGCCTGTAGTCTCAGCTACTGCAGAGGCTGAGGTGGGAGGAGCCCTTGAGCCCAGGAGTTCAAGGCTGCAATGAACTATGATTGTGCCACTGCACTCCAGCCTGGGACACAGAGTAAGACCATGTCTCTAAAAAAATAAAAATAATTCAACTTCATAATCAATCACTGGTTGCCACGCCTTTTTGTGTCTACCATAAAATGTCTCTTATCTTTTCCCATTCCTCTTTATTCTCATTTCTACATCCTCAGTTTGGGTCTTTATCTCTTAAGTATCCACTATCCCAATCCTTTCTTCACACTGATCACTACATGGTTTTTAGAAAATCATATCTGAACATGTTACAATCCTGTTTTGAAATCTTCTAAGCCCCAAGTCAATCGATACTCCCACTGCCTTGCTGTAGCAGAGCATTTATTTAAAGCCCTTCACAATTCCCTATTATCTAACTTGAGGGCCACATCTTCCAACATTTCTGAACAACACGAAGCTTCGGCTGCTTATTGGTTATCCTCAAATCTATTACATACATTCATACTTCCTAGAGTCATTCAGTTCCCTCTGTCTGGAATGACCATCTCTTCAGTCTCTAACTATTCCCAATCTTACGTCCTAATCTTTTGTACCCCCAAAATTTAATTCATTATTCAAGACCCAGCTTAAATGTATATGGGTCTCCCAACAACTCTCTGGTCCCCACAGAAATTAATCACCTCTTCTGTGTTCCCAAAGTACTTGGTTTATATCCGTAGATAAATATTTACAATACACATACACAAGTATTTTTCCCACTCTAAATTATGACAGTAACTTATATTCATCTCTATAAAGTCAGCATAATCCTGGGTACAAAAGCTATTCAATAAAAGCTAGTAAATGAACAAATGATTACTTTGTGTTGCCATTCAGTAGCTTCCTCTTCCTTTTTCTTCTTGGCTTCTTCTAGAAGTGCAATCTTGGCAGTGAATTCAGCAAGTTCTGCTGCCTAAAGTAAACAATATAATTCCAAGATTAACATATTTTGAATAATCTTATAAGTCAACAAAGCTTTAATGTACATGCTTAGGCTGTTTATGTTTTTCTTAGATAGTCTTCCATTTAAAAAAATACAGTATTTCTTAAGATCTTAAATAGCTTATTTACAATAAGTCCTTGAAGTAATGAGCTAAGGAGGAGACAAAATTCAAAGATTACTATTATTCTACTGACAAGCAGTTAATCCTGCTTTCAGTAGCAGGAACTTAAAATGTGTAACTTAAAAGCTTTTTAAAAAAAACTTTCATCAATAAACTATTTGTTAAAGTCTACAAAAGATAAAATATATTTATATAATGCTATATACTTTAAATGGCACTTTGTCAAATCATCTCATTTAATTCTCCAATAATCCTAACAGGTAGTAGCATTCCTTTTTTTTTTTTTTTTCTTTTCAGACGGAGTGTTGCTCTGTCGCCCAGGGTGGAGCTCAGTGGCACGATCTCAGCTCACCGCAAACTCCGCCTGCCGGGTTCAGGCAATACTCCTGCCTCAGCCTCCCAAAGTAGCTGGGATTACAGGTGTGTACCACTGTGCCCGGCTAATTTTGTATTTTTAGTAGAGACAGGGTTTTGCCATGTTGGTCAGGGTGGTCTTGAACTCCTGACCTCAGGTGATCCGCCTGCCTCAGCCTCCCAAAATGCTGGGATTACAGTCGTGAGCCACTGCGCCCAGCCATCATTCCTCTCTTCAAAGGGAGGGAACTAAGGCTCAGAAAGACCCAAAGATACATACATAGTAAGTAGCATGTGTGAACTAATATTTAAATCCAGGATCTTTTAAGTAACATGCTTATACCTCGTTATTTGCAAGTCCACTAAATAAACAAAAAACTCCAACCAATTATGGCCTATAGTTATCTCATAGAAACTATAAGATATTATATTAATTTATCTAAAGCAGAAGATGCCAACTGACTTATTGTGGAACCTGTCCAATGTTAAAGTGAATCAGAACCTTTTGCTGACAATAGACTCCATTTACAAATAATCTATAGAAAAATATCGGCTGGGCACGGTGGCTCAAGCCTGTAACCCCAGCACTTTGGGAGGCCGAGACGGGCGGATCACGAGGTCAGGAGATCAAGACCATCCTAGCTAACACGGTGAAACCCCATCTCTACTAAAAAATACAAAAAAAAAAAAAAAAAAAAACTAGCCAGGCGAGGTAGCGGGCGCCTCTAGTTCCAGCTAATGTAGTCCCAGCTACTGGGGAGGCTGAGGCAGGAGAATGGCGTGAACCTGGGAGGCGGAGCTTGCAGTGAGCTGAGATCTGGCCACTGCACTCCAGCCTGGGCGACAGAGCGAGACTCCGTCTCAAAAAAAAAAAAAAAAAAAATCTTATTCTTTTGTATTTTTAGGTTTTTGTTTAGGCAGAAATAAAAGTTTTAGGTTTTTGTCCACACTTTGTTATTAAGTTACATGTTATCTTTGGCTTGCTTTCCAGAAAGCACAAAATGGTTGCTTTTTGTTTTTTCTTTTTAGAGGGTTCACTCTATGATTTTATTTAAACTTTTTTCTCTAAGAAGACAGTTCCTTACTAGCTGCTCCTGATTCTTCATCTGGTCGGCAGCTTGTTTTGCTATGGCAGACTTCGCCTCTTCAGCAGCTCGACGCTCTTTTTCAAGCCGTTCTGCTTCTTCTTTTGCTCGTTTTCGTTCTTGATCCAGTTCTAGAGCTTTTCGAGTCTGTTCTTCTAGTTCTGTGAAATATGTGTATTCCCCCCAACAGTGATTAATTCCAAACATTCTCATTATCAAAAGAAGCTAAAATAGTAGCAAGAAATCAAATCTGTTCAGTTTCTAAAAATTAGCACACATGTAAATACGTATATACCTCTTTGTTTTCTTGAGACAGGGTCTCGCTCTGTTGCCCAGGCCGGAGTGCAGTGGCACAATCATAGCTCACTGCAGCCTCTAACTCATGGACTCAAGCAATCCTCCCACCTCAGCCTCCCTAGTAGCTAGGACTACAGGCGCTATATCTCATTTCTAACTTGGCAAAAGCCTAATAATTTTTAAAGAGACATGAAAATCTTCTGCAATTCAAGTTATGTAAAAAGGCCACAAGCATATAACTTTATTTTACTTTTAAGAAATAATCTCTCCATCTAAAGTTTTGATCTCAGTAAACAAATTGCCATGTTTCAGAAATCTATAATACATTTTTAACACTTCCATTAAGTTTTTACTTACCTAAACTAATAAGTAAATCCAAGAAATTAAGATTGAAAACAGTATTTACTGACTCAAAAATAGGAATTTTGATGTGAATTATATGAATTATTGAAAAATGTGAGTTACTGGTATATATCACTTCCTACGGCATGAAGATAAGTAATATTGGGAGATAAATAACATGAATTTAAATCCTTAAGTGTATAGATCACTAAATCCAATCTCTTTTCTTTTCAGGAAAGGAAAATAAATTTTTAAGGGAGTTTAAAAGTTCTAACTTTAAATATTATTTTGACAATTATTTAAGCCCTGTGACAGAAGACAACAGAATGCCACCTACTAAGACAGTACAAGGTCCTACAAAGAATGATTCTCCCTTACTGTATACTTAGAGAATGTGTATGTCATGAAATTTGAAAGCTAACGGTAACTTACAACCTTTTACTTACTGTCCTTAATTTTGTTGGTCTTGATCAGAACTAGTTAAGTAATTGCAGTTAAGACTTGGAAGGTTTTAGGCCGGGTGTGGTGGCTCATGCCTGTAATCCCCAGCACTTTGGGAGACCGAGGTGGGTGGATCACTTGAGGTCAGGAGTTTGAGACCAGACTTGCCGACCTGGTGAAACCCCATCTCTACTAAAAATACAAAAATTAGCCAGGCATGGTGGTGGGCACCTGTAATCCCAGCTACTTGGGGAGGCTGAGGCAGAAAAATCGCTTGAACCCAGGAGGCAGAGACTGCAGTGAGCCAAGGTTGCACCACTGCACTCCAGCCTGGGCAACGGAGCAAGACTCTGTCTCAAAAACTACAACAACAACAAAACAAAACAAAACAAAACACTTGAAAGGTTTTGAGAGGGTTGGAGAAGAATGACTCTCTGGTTAGGTTTTAAATTCTTAATAAAATAATACAAAAACCACAGCAATTAGGCCAAAAAAAAAAAAAAAAAAAAGAAGAGGAAGAGGAAGAAGAAAGAAGAAAGAAGAAACAAAGGGTATCCAAAGTGGAAGGAAAGAAGTCAAATTAACATTATTTGCAGATAACATGATCTTATACCTAGAAAAACCTAAAGATCCCAACAACAACAAAAAAAAAAACTGCTGGAACTGATAAATGAATTCAGTAAAGTTGCAGGATGCAAAATCAACATTAAAAAATCAGGGCTGGGCATGGTGGCTCATGCCTGTAATCCCAGCACTTTCGAAGGGCAAAGTGGGAAGACTGCATGGGCTAGGAGTTTGAGACCAGCCTGGTCAATAGAGTGAGACACCGTCTCTTCTTAAAAACTAAAATTAAAAAAGATCAGTAGCCATTTATATACACCAACAGTAAACAATCTGAAAAACAAACCAAAAAGCAATTCCATTTATAATAGCTTAAAAAAAAAAAAAAAAGTAAAACACCTAGGAATCAATCTACCCAAAGAAGTGAAAAAAGGACACTGGTCTAGGTAAAGGTTTTTTGTGTAAGACCACAAAGGCACAGGCAAAGAGAGATAATGGGTATTGTATCAAGCTAAAAAGCTCTATATAGCAAAGGAAACAACCAACAAAGTGAAGAGATAAACTAAAGAACAGAAGAAAGTGTCTACAAACTGTCTATCTAAAAAAGGACTAATAACCAGAATATATAAAGAGCTCAAACTCGATAGCAGAAAACCAAATAATCTCATTTACAAATGGGCAAAACATCTGAACTGACATTTCTCAAAAGACGTACAAATGGCCAAAAGCTGTATGAAAAAACGTTAAACACTATAATCACAGAAATATAAATCAAAACCACAATGAGATATCATCTCACCCCAGTCAAAATGGCTTGTATCAAAAAGACAGGCAAGGCTGGGCAAGGTGGCTCACGCCTGTAAATCCCAGGACTTTGGAATTTATAAAAATTAGCTGGGCATGGTGATGCATGTAATCCCAGGTACTTGGGTGGCAAAGGCTAAGAATCACTTGAACCCGGGAGGTGAAGGCTGCCTGGGCGATAGAGGAAGACTCCGTTTAAAAAAAAAAAAAAAAAAAAGGCAGTAACAGATGCTGGCAGGGATGTAGAGAAAAGGGACACTCATACACTATTGGTGGGAATGTAATTTAGTAAGGCCGCTTTGTAGAACATTATAGACAGTCCTCAAAAAACTAAAAATATGGAATTACCATAGTATCTAGCAATATCACTACTGGGTGTTTATATCCAAAACAAAGGAAATCAATACATTGGAGATAGTTGTACTCCTATGTTTATTGCAGCACTATTCACAATGGCCAAAACATGAAGTCAACCTAAGTGCCCATCAATAAATGAATGGATGAAGAAAATGTGGCATATACACACTATGGAATATTATTCAGCCACAAAAATAAATGAAATCCTGTCCTCTGCAGCAATATGGACGGAACTGGAAGCCATTATGTTAAGTGAAATAAACCAAGCACAGAAAGACAACTATTGCATGTTCTCACTCATATGTCAGAGCTATAAAGGTGGATCTCATAAAGATAAACTGGTGATTACCAAAGGCCAGGAAGTGGGTGGAGGGAACTGAAGGGAGGAAAAAAAGAATATAAATGTATTTATTACTACTGAACTGTATACTTAAAAATGGTAAAGATGGCTGGGCACGGTGGCTCATGCCTGTACTCCCAGCAATTTGGGAGGCAGAGGTGGGCAGATCACCTCACGTCAGGAGTTCGAGACCAGCCTGGCCAACACGGCAAAACCCTGTATCTACTAAAAATACAAATAATTAGCCGGGCGTGGTGGCGGGAGCTTGTAATCCCAGCTACTCGGGAGGCTGAGGCAGGAGAAATACTGAAACCCAGGAGGCGGAGATTGCAGTGAGCCAAGATAACACCACTGCACTCCAGCCTGAAAAAAAAAAAAGGGTAAAGATGTGTATATTCTGTATTATATATGTACATTTTACCTCAATAAAAAATAAATAATATAAAAATTCTATGTGGCCATTTGGCTATAAAGATAAAATGTACATAGCACTGTATGTTACCATAGCTAAATTCTAGGATTACTCATTTTAGAATCTGCCTTCTAAAATTTAGACAATCAAGCTGGCCTATCAAACTTTTCTTTTTTTTTTGAGATGGAGTCTCACTCTGTTGCCCAGGCTGGAGTACAGTGGCACGATCTCAGCTCACTGCAACCTCCGCCTCCCAAGTTCAAGCAATTCTCCTGCCTCAGTCTCCTGAGCTGGGATTACAGACGTGCGTCACCACACCCAGCTAATTTTTGTATTTTTAGCAGAGACGGGGTTTCACTATGTTTGCCGGGCTGGTCTCAAACTCCTGACCTCAGGTGATCCACCTGCCTTGGCCTCCCCAAGTGCTGGGATTACAGGTGTGAGCCACTGCACCCAGCCTCAAACTTTTCTTATGATTAATTCTTTTCATCTGATTGACTGATATATAAAACAACACCCACAAAGCTCATGGTTTTATCTTCCGTCTAAACAAGCAAACAAATAACTAAATAATTGAAAGCAGGGTCTCAAAGCAGTATCTGAACATCCATGTTCATAACAGCATTATTCACAATAACTAAAACACAGAAGCAACCTGAGGGCCCATCAACAGATACACAGGTAAGCAAAATGTGGTAGACAAATAGAATATCATTCAGCCTTAAAGGAAGGAAATTCCGACATATGCTACAACATGGATGAACCTTGAGGACATTATGTTAATTGAAATAAGCCAGTCACAAAAAGACAAATACTGTATGATACCACTTATACAGGCAGAATACTCAAAATCATAAAGACAAAAAGTAGAATGGTGGTTGCCAGGGGTTGTGGGGAGGGGGGAAATGGGGATTGTTTAATGGGTGCGGAGTTTTAGTTTTACAAGATGAAAAGAATTATGGAGCTGGATAGTGGTGATGGCTGCACAACATTCCCAATATATTTTGTATCAACGAACTACATTACTTAAAAAGGCAAAAAACTGGCCGGGCATGGTGGCTTACGCCTGTAATCCCAGCACTTTGCGAAGCCGAGGCGGGCGGATCACATGAGGTCAGGAGTTTGAGAACAGCCTGGCCAACATGGTGAAACCCCGTCTCTATACTAAAAATACAAAAATTAGCCAGACGTGGTGGCAGGCACCTGTAATCCCAGCTACTCGGGAGGCTGAGGTAGGAGAATCGCTTGAACCCGGGAGGCGGAGGTTGCAGTGACTCAAGATTGCACCATCACACTCCAGCCTGGGGGAAAAGAACAAGACTCTGTCTCAAAAAATAAAAAATAAAAATAAAAAAATTTTTTAAAAAGCCAAAAACCTCAATGCTTTATTTTCTCTCATAATAAAAATTGTTTCTGTACTATGCAAAAGAGAAATAAGTCTGAATTACAAAGTTAAATTTTGAAACATTCCCCAATATTCATTTTTATCAGCTTTTTGTAATAAAGGTCAATTTGAAAAATGACAGATAAGGCATAGCTATTTTGTGGTATACTGAGAATTATATAAAAGTGTAAGTTTTAAAAAACTTTTAAAACGAACTCTGAAA